CTCCACAATTTTCAAGTTTTTATCTTCGAACAGGCACGCCAACAGTACATTGGGTTTTGAATATAATGTTTTTAAGTGTAAGCCATGTTATAAAAAATACATAGATCTAACATGACCATACTTAATCTTCTGAATAACAGGTATACATTTTTTGTTCATTTGCTCTCTGCTCACCATGCTTACTACCACCTTCATTCTCCATTCCAACAGGTTTCATTCCTGTTCTTGTCTTCAAAGTCCACACTACTTTTGACCATGTTTAATTATCTGCCTCAAAAGGCTGGAAAACACAAATAATAAAACGTACGTAATTTATTCTTCCTCCCTTACTTTACGCGATGAACCTTTTATTCACCATGTACGATGACATAATATCTAAACATATAACTGTAACTATCACTGATATGTAGTTTGTCATATATGTTTTTGCTTTGGTTTACTCTGGTGTCTTCAGCCAGGTCAGCACTGCAAATGAATAAAAAAATGATCAAGAATAAATGAACTATTTTCTTTCCTTGCATTCTGTCTTCAGCAGAGCTGACTCATTCAATATGGCGTACGAGCAGCAATGGACCAACCCGCTCGAGGCGGGATCTATGAGTACTTACATCTCTGTTGCTGTGTGCGAATCAGAAGTGATTTCCGTGAACGAGACCGCGCCGGTACTTCTCGCGAGACTTTCTCGTCAGTAGCTCGCGCTCCAGTATGGCAGCTGTCGCGCTGAGGTCTTGTCGCAGAGGGTTTTCTCGCTTTTTAAGCCATGGCGGCTTCGTACCTTCGTCCGACACACACTCGAAAGGTTTGGCCGGTTCTTAAATTGTCCACTCGGCTTCGTAAAGACGGCCTATGTTAGCTTGGGTGGCCATTTAAACGTATACGAGGGGGGTGTGGCTTTGAAAGACTGCGTCGTTTTAAAAATACTGGACTGTACATTATGTGCTCGACACTGAATTAATTACATCACAGTCAGATATAATTTGAGTGTCATTAACGATTAACATGCTTTCATCCTGTGAAATTACCTTGAGGAGTTTGCCTTTCTTCCACCATGTTCCCTCCATGTTTACATAACATGCAATACTAACACTTGTGTGTCCACCAGGAGACCGAAGACACAAGTCCACAGTCCAGTATGCTACCAGGCCTGATCTACCCAAACTCGCCTATAGGAGGGTGAAAGGCAAAAGTCCAGGGGTGGTCTTCCTGCCTGGTTATGGGTCTAACATGAATGGACAGAAAGCTGAGGCGCTGGAAGAATTCTGCCAGTCACTTGGACACTCGTACCTCAGGTGAGCCATTAAAAATGAACCCTTGTGTGGTATACGGTGAACTCCTTCATC